ATTTGTGTTCATTATTCCCTTTTTTTTAACAGATAAATCTTGCTTTTGTTAATCTAAAAAAAAAAAAAAAAAATTATTTCAAATGTTAAATAATATTTAATGCAAATATCCCTGTTTCGTTTTCTTTTGGCAACTCGCCTCACACACAGCTCATATTATTATTATTTTCGTTTGTTATAAAACACAATTATGCAACCACTTTGGCTTATCGCTGAGTGGATTTTAGGCCGCATTCTCAAGGCATTTATAAGCCAACTAGGCGCATTTCCGCTCGCACACTCTCGTTCAACTTTAAGCTCACTTTATTAAGTCAACTCAACGCGACTCGACTCGACTTGACTCGGCTCGGCATTTCAACTTAATAAGCACAACAACAACAGGAACAGGCGGCAAATGGCGCTATTTAAATGCTAAACAACTCTATTAAGTTGCACGACACACACACATACACACACGCAACACACATACACAAATACATTTACCAACCAAGGACAGATTTAGCTTCAGCATTTATTATTATTTTTTTTTTTTCGCTCGAAGTTTAGCGCTTGAACTGGAACTGGGGCTGGGGCTGGGGCTGAGGCTGGGGTTGGGGTGTTTAGGCAGAAATGGAACCTCAGCACGTTTCAAATACAATTTACAATAAATAAAATTTAAAAGCGAGAAAAAATGCTGCGACAACAGCAGCAGCAGCAGCAGCAGCGACAGCGCTGCGCAGCGCAGCAACTGAAGACAGACACCGAATCGCGTCGGACTTAATGCCGCCTAACGGTGAATGGAAAGTGAAGGCCAGAAATGGGAAGTGAGCACGTGATGCTTGGCGCAAGAAACGCGAAACACGCGACTGAAGGATGAGTTGCAGTATACCGAATAGTGTATGCTCTAACGAGAAAACTGAAAGAGATACGGAGAAAAATAATTGAAAATAATTAATATAAAATAAAAATTAATAACAAAGTTCTGGGACCCCTTGCTTATCTTAATTTACTGGTGATGTATCGGAAAATTAAAGTAAAAATGTTGACGTGGAGGCTGGCTGATGAGTTTAACGAATTAAAATGAAGAAAAAGTCTCGTGTGATTCCGTAAAGTAAAAAAATATAGTGAGTTGTAGAACAAAGTAATGAAAGAGACTACTTCTCAGAGAGTAGCTATGTTATTAACATATTTCTGTTAACAGTTGTCATTCTAGTTTATTTAGTCTCGTTACTGTATATACATATGCAATTGACGTATTATTAAAACTGAATGCTTTAAGATTTCTAATATTTAATAGTTGTATATATAATTTAATT